AGGGATAATTGAGCATTGCTTAAAGACTTAGCCATAGTACTGAGTCCTAGGGTAGGAAACCATTACAGTAGTGGAAAGATTCAGATGAACAATAGACTATGAAATGACACCAAAAGGCACACCAAAATGTCAGATCTCAGTGAACTGTAATGTCTCTCTCTTCATCTAGAAACTGGAAATAAGATAGTAATCTCTTTGGTGTTTTGGGGGCAGTTTAGATCAGGGAAGACATGCTGGATTTTCTTAAGCAATGAATGATAAAATAGATATGTGACTACATTATGGTCTAAGACAATGAACATACACCTTTTCTAAATTCAGGGCTGAGGATTGAACCCAGGGAATTGTACATGACAGGCAAGTGTCTACTATTATAGATGGTTAAGTTAAATAAAAATATTATAGGCAGTCAGATAGGGATAGGCCCTCTAGAGAGTCAGCACAAAAGATAAAAACACATTACAACCATAGCCTGAGACACATTGGGTACAGGCCAGGCCTTAAACTAAAGACAAAATGACCAGTCCTGCATACTTCCCCAGAGGACAAGGTAAGTGATAACACCTGCCCTAATGAAGCATAGATAGACATCAGTCCCCCCAGTGGGTGACCAAGACCTCTGGACCCATCATTTCCTAGGAAAAGTCTTTGTTTTTCCCATGTACACTTGTTACATGGCTTGTCCCCCATTGGATCACTGTTACCTAAGCAACGATACTTGTAACCTTATTGGTTATTCATAACTTTAATCCATGTTGTAACCACATGGTCATGTTTTATAACATTTCCTCTGAAAAGTGGGGTCCTCTACAACCCATTCAGGACCCCTCCTGCCTCTCAGGGGCTATATCTCTCAATAAATATTTCTTACTGTTAACCTCCATTGTTCCTAGAATCCATTCTTCATTTTTTAGAGAACACGAACTCAGCATATCAGACATGTAACAGATTGAAAGTTATACTATTTCCCCTATATTGGAGGTCTGATATCATTTCTATATCACAACCACCGAGCTATACCTTGGTTCTGAGCAGGCACTTGAATATCAGAAATGGTACTTCAAATTTGACCACATTTTATTGATTTAACTATTGTACTTTCGTTTCATGAAGGATTTTCATTTCATGTACTTCATTTCATGAAGGACTTAGGCTGAATTACGTAAACTTCTTCTCTTCTATAATTGGCTCTTTCATACCTACTGTCTCTGGTTGAGCCATAATGGCGTTCCTTTAATCCTTTGTACTGATCTGTAAATTATCTGCAGATGGAGGCCCATTTACTGGTCTCTTTTGGCTTAATTTGCTCCTCTATGAGGGAAGAAATCACAAGCCTACCAGATTGAAAGTTGGAAGACACAGATTTCACGTCTAGATGGGAGGGATGCCAGAGAATTTGCATCATGGTATTGAAACTGCCATGGCTGCCCCTCTGCCCACAATTTCTTACATTCCTTCCAAATGCAAATATTCTCTCCCATGAGCCCCCAAAGCCTCATCCAATTACAGCACCTGGCTCAGGCTCAAAGTCTGCATCTCATCAGGTCCAGGTATAGATGAGACGTTGGATCTTCTAAGAATGATTCCTTTAACTAAACCAGTGAATTAAGTACCTTTCCAACACTTCCCATGTTATCACCAGTACTTGCCAAACTTTTCACCACTACAAAGCAAAGTTCCCTTTCTTCCTGCTTCCAATCATGTTTCCTCACTTTCCTTCAAACTTTTGCCAACAATCTTCTCTGAACACAAGGGGCTCCTGCAGTCCACCAATGTCTATATTTTGGTTTTGCTAAGCCACAGCCCGCCTACTCCTAGGTACCAAGCTGTGTCCTACTCATGTACTGTTGCTTCCTCAAACTCACTGGCTTCATACCATTGTATGAAGAAATTTGGGGAAGGCTTAGCCCTGTTTTGGGATTTCTCACACAGTCAGATGTTGACTGGGCATCACTCATCTTTCCAACTAGGTTAATTATTCCGAGGTGCCCTGAGACTGCTGACCAGGAGCCCTACAAGTGGCTTCTCCATTTGGCTTGGGATTCCCACAGCTTGGTGACAGAGTTCTGGGCTTTATATGAACAGTCTTGTTAACTTCCTATCTTCTTATCTAATAGGGATAAGTAATCCTGGGGAAGATTAAAAAACAAAAACAAAACAAACTTTGGACTCCAACTTTAAGCACTTCCTAAGTAAATATAACAGTGAACTAACCTCAACTAGAAATCCATTTAGAAAGAAAATGAAATAAAAATGTATTGCATTTAAAATTCTGCTATTATTATATACATAATGTTAGTACAAGGATAGCAAAGGGTAATTTGCATAATAAATATTCCTATTCTTTTTTCTAGTAAGTACAATAATTAAATAGCAACCATCATTGAAGGAGGACAAAAGAGGGCTATTAGCATAAATGTTAGCTTGATCTTTCAAGGAGATTTGATTACCTTCTACCCCAACTCCACTCCATCCACTTGAATAGAAGTTTTGCTTTTCATCAGTTGAATGTTAAGTGCCTTTGATGCATTCAAGTATTGCCCTAGCTGGCCATATTCAACACAGAGCAAAGAACAGTTTCTACTCAGCATATTTGGGAGAAACATGCTAAGGCAACACTTTCTGATGAAAAGATCCTGGATAAATGACAAGTCTATGAAAGTCCTGATTTAACAAAAATGGCAAAACATGCCAAAATACTTAAGCCAGTGAAACCAATATAGCATCATCTTTCCTCAAGTGAAGATATATATGATTTCATGTTAAAAATTCTAAATACTTCTAGTAACCTTTGTCAATCATTTTCTTTTAAGCTTCCTTTAGTCCAATAGTAGATATAACTGAAAAATTAAGTTTAATTTTAGAATCAAGTCAATTAAAGTTATTTGTAGTTCAGGATGAGGAAAATATATAGAGAGAGTGAATATATATAATATATAGTGAATATATATAGTGAATATATTATATATATTATATAGTGAATATATATTACATAGTGTATATATTATATAGTGAATATATAGAGAGAGAGAATTTTTTGAGTCATTTGTTTTAAGTAATGGCATTAAGATTAGTGGAAAATCTTTGAATTAATCTAATATGGAACATATTTTTTCACTGAGGGACATTTATCCTACAATTGCTCATGTGAATTAAGGCATTTAGAGACTGAATCTGAAGATCTGGAACAAAAAGAGCAAATTTCTAGTCTTACTCCACAGGGAATGGCAGTGGCAGGCACTCCTCCACTGTGTCTTCAGGACAGTGGCAGGGATTTTCCAAGTCAGTATAAAGAAAAGAGACATTCTTGTGTGGATCACATGAGGCTGGCATTGAGCTATGGCAGAGAGGCTTACTGATTATGGAGCAAGGCCTTCTAGAGGAAAGATTTTAGTCACAGGATGAGATCTCTGTGAAACTCCTAGGTGCATTTGAAGTTTAATAACTAAAATTATAGGTTGTAATAGAAATAACATGGTAAATTATACTTTTAAAAACTTATTAAAATTCAGAGCATCTGGATTACTTATACAATGGTAGGACATAAATTACTCCCCAGTACTACTATAGAGCATTATTTGTGGAACTAGGTATTAGTCTATTTATTCCTCACAAGAGCTCTGAAAGGCACATATTTCTATACTTTTCACATGAGAAAACAACTGCCTAGGCCCCTTCAAATAACTGCCTAGGCCCAAATAATATGAAAAAACTCTAGATCTGCCTGATTCTAAACCTTCTGACTTTTCTGCAACAAATTTCAATTCTGACAGTAAAAATAATCAAAATTACAAAGACAAGAAAGATATGTCCAAGAGTTAGAGGAAGTAAAATTCTACTTGTTGTGTAAGAAAATTAATTTGATTATGAATAACATTCAATATACAGATTGTGTATTTTGTTTTATCTACATTCATGTTTAGAAATTAAAATATTTAAGAAAAAAAACAATGAATGTTCTCGAAGACTTAGAAAAGTATTTAGTTTTGTGTCTTATGCTCTTTTATTTTTATCCCCCTCCTTATTCTCCTGTCTTAATTTTGAAAATTCTCCAAATCTGTGTAGTTTTGTATGGTAATATAGAGATTTTATTTTGGAAATTATTTTTAATTGCTTTTCTTAAAGTACTTCTCTCATTTGAAGATAAAACTGAAGACCAGGGGAAAGAAATTTCCATTGCCCCCTAGATAAGGCACAACCTTCTGCTAATGCATTCTAAGCACATTAACCCTGTACCATTAATTATTGGTACTAGGAGCTAATATCTGATTCCAACAGCCTTCAGCCTAATATAGCACATTAAAGTTTCCTGAGTTAACACCTAAGGGACAGTACTTCTGTCTTTGGGGAAAAATGTGTGATACACTTAGTAAAACTGTGAAATCTTTCCCATAAAGTATTCACTCTAGTTTCTTTTGTAGTTCTTAAAAAATCCAAAAAAAAAAATCTCTATATTTTCCCTCTTTTGTTTTCTAGAAAGAAAAATCTCTATCCTAACAATAACAGGGCATTCCTTTCTCATGGTCAAAGAAAACAGAACACTTGTATGTCAATGAATTATCTTGTAAAATTCTTAATAAGTGTTACTTCTTTTTAACTTGCTTATAAGAAGCCATGCTGGCATTGGCTAGATTAAATTAATCTAGATCCTACTTCTTATTAGTAAATAGCAAAACTAACATTTGATTTTTAATAATAAAACTAATATTTGATGCTTAATTTAAAAGATACAAATTATTAAAAAGAAACCATAAGCTTTTTTATCCTTCTTTATAATTGTATTTCCTTAAGTAACTATAGCTTGCATTTGACTAAACTTTTGTGTTTATTTTTGTTGTGTCTGTTACCCAGTGAGTCCTGATATGAGGTATTCCTACCAGGAAAGATAACAAGTAATAATAAAAAGGCTTTGGAAAAAAATAATTAATGTTTCAAATGTGACATTGACTTAGTGTTTCATTAACAAATGTTAAATATTGTCTATATCTGTATTTACTCACCCATAAGTCCTAAAAGAATGTAGCCCATAATAAACACTAGGAAGATCATGCAGCACACAACATCTGTACAACTCCTAAAGACAAAAGAAGAATAGAAGATTAAAAGGGGTCCCAAATAATTTGTCTACTGCACAAAAATATAGGAAAGGAGAAAAAGATAATAGTGATACATGATTTTATACCCAATAATTCTGAAAGGTAAATTGGATGTAGTTTTGCAATCCAAAACTTTAGTAGCAATGGCAAGGTTATAATTTCATGTTTCAAGAAGCTCCCCTAGAATTCTTTGTCATTTCTGTATTTTAAAAATATCTCTAGAGAGTATATCAACATCAAGTAGATTTTTTTAAAAAAATTAAAATGTAGTTTAAGCTATTTGATTTCCTTTCCATGCCTCCCCGACACATAGCATAAAGTAGCTATTTTCCATTCCTTTTTTTCTTCACTTCCTTTCTCAATACACATTTTCATGGTATGATTATTAAAGGATTGATTATATCAATCTTCTATGGAGGGTAGAGTTATAACTATTCTAACAATGGAGTATAAAAAGCTTTAAAAAATAAAACTCTCCCACAAACTGTAGTTTTTTCAGCTATCCTGCAAGCTACATCTTGTGAAATTTGGTTTAGAGAAAATCTGGCTCAGAGACACCCAGTGATTTGCGGAAGGTCACAGCCACACCAGCACCCAGCAGAGACAGGAGGTTTGAAAGGTTGAAGCTATGTCTTAAAGTGAGCACTGATAGTTATCCTTGCTTGAAACTTAATGATGAATCCATTAGTAAAGAAAAAAGAACAGCCCACTGACAGGATTAAAAAGGTGCATATCAGAATCTCCATAGAATGTTCTTGATCATGGGGGCAGGTGGGTATCCTTTAAGCTCAGCACAGGCAAGGTGAAATCCAAACTTTTTAAGTAGTGGAAGTAGCTTAGCAGAAGTAATAGATGGCAACTGCACACTAGCAGATACTACACACCTTACACTGATAAAGCCTGCTACACCTTCACACTAATAGCATTGTGAGTTTCCTAAGAACATCTTTATGTTCCTAGGGATAGCAAGAAGAGTTGACTTAAGGAACAGACATGAGAGGTAGTTACAGAAGTAGGCGAATATCTAGGTCTCCACTACCTATTGTTTTCATTTAGTAGTTAAGTCAATATGATTACAACTTTCTGTAAAGACTCAAAACAGCTATATATGAAAATAATCACACCAGTTCATGTAACTCTTTATAAGTTACAGATCTTTCATTGGAAAAAAAAACCCCATGGCCAATCCAGAAACAAACTATACTTTGTTTAAATCCAATTTTAACCTAGGAATTTTAAAATTTCATTTGTATTTCAGAATGAAAAAATAATAAAAAGAGAAGAAATCAGGCACTTAGCATTTTTGTATTAACAAGCAATAAAAGCAAAACTGTCTTAGAGGTGGGGAGAGGATTTGTTTCATACACATCCTGACACATCCAAAGTCAAGACCGGGACCCATCTTCCCAATCAGGTGTTACATAGCCGGACACCTAGTGCAAAGAATACTGGTGTGCTTTAATTAGAAATCCCGTAGTTGTCAGAGCCCTTTTGTGTAACACAACTCCCTGGAAGAGAGAGATAAGAACCCTCGTGCTACTGTTGTGTATCTATAATGGTACATGTTAATGTCTATGTATTTGTATGCTACATAAGATATATATAAGTACAGCACATATGTATACATATGGACATCAGAATATTAAAATGTTCCAATGGTACATGTTATTGTAACATTATGTATTTATAGTGTTATATAGGGAGCACAGGAAGAGGTAAGCATACTAAAAAGACGAATGAAAGAAACTAACCCATTTCAAAGGATGGAGCACAAAGAAAAAAACAAAACCCAAATGGAAATTTTATGCAAAGTAAAGCCCACAATCCTTTACTACTGGCACTGATGAACAGGTGTCCATTTGAATTTTGGTTCCATATAGAGTTTAATGCTACGATTCCTTTCACCTGAAAGCACTGAGGATGAATCCATGACCACATAGCCTCTCCCTCACACTGCTTAGGATTTCTCAATCATCTGCCCCTTAAGTGTCTGGGGATTTTATTCAGCAGCCAGGGAGGATATTGTCTTCAAGTCTGCTTTGTTTTTCTGGTGTCCTGCTTTAAAAAACCAATGGACTGTGCTCCCCATAGCCAGACTGCTTAATTTTTATCATATTTAAAATAGAATGATGCTGAACAAACCAAAAATGATGAATAGAGCATTCAAAAGTCTCAACTAGTAGGAACATTAGTATTTGTAAATTTGTTCTGAAGTGATTTGATTCCTTTTAACGTTTTAGGAATTTTCTTCCAAAAACAGGTGTGTGTGTGTGCGTGTGTGTGTTTTCAGGTAATTACAATTATAAGCTATACTTATCTGTAATTGTTTCCATTTATTTACTTGTTTCCCTGTCTTCAGATATGTTCTCTCCAGAAAAAAAAACACTAGTGCTTAGAAAGATACTAGAAAAATATATGTAAACAAAATACAAAATAGAGCTTGTGTACCATTTTGTCAGTCAAGAAATACAGCAGAAACTCAATTCATTTTCTTTTAGAAATAGCCACTTCATTATTATTCCTTTCTTTCAGGACATCTGTTATAATCCCAAATGTTCAATAGGAAATTAGTTTTTTAAAAAACATGGATTTAATTTGGATAATTTCTTTAAAATCTCTCAAGACAGCCATAGAGATAACTGGGTGATACAAGCTATGGCTGAAAGTCACTGTGAATCATATTCTAGCTGGTGCTGTATCTTTTCCTCAGGTGCGTTCATTTTACTCTCACAACAAGCAATAAAACCACTGTACTTAAATGGGTTACATTTCACTGGTCCCAGAAAGAAGACAGAAAGAATGATTATAGAGAAATATGTGAATCTGTCTCCCTCATCCTCTCTCCAAGTCAAAAATCCCACTTTTTCAAAACAAACTGTTCACGCTCGCATTTATCAGAGAGCCACTCAAAACTATTCAGATTAAGATGTCCTGCATAAAAGGATTTCCAAAAGTTAAACCTCAGAAGTGCCACTGCAACTTTGTATCTATTTTCCAAATATAATAAGAATAGGATCCTAATTATATATATATATATATTTATAGATTTTCCTTTTCATCTTATCTCTAACCCACAAATAGAGTACAGCTATAGTCACCAAGACTTAAAATGTTGGGAATTTCCTTTGATTTTCCTGTTTCTTACTGTATCTTTGGTTTGTAATTGACAAGTTCTCTGGCTCCTCCTCTCTGATGTGTCTGTCATCCACCTCTTCCTTCCATTCATATTGCCTGGACTCAGCCCAGGTTCTCTTATTATCTTTGCAGACTTTGTTGTGGCCTTTTAATTGGGCTCCTGCAAAGACTTTCTCCTGATCCAAGTCATTCAGCTCATCAGATACCCCTGACATGTGAAGACATCATTTTATTGTTTAAGAAATGCAATGCTTCTCCAACACCTACTTAAATCCCAAATGTTTTGGCTACATGTTCAAGAACCTAGAAGTCCAGTCCTAGTTCATGCTGACTCTTTCTAGCTTTATCTCCTACTATTCCTTCTCAATGTGCATTTAAAATCAGCTTGGACTTTTTTATTCATAGTTACACTCTCAGGGATCTCTGCTCATGACTCTTCTCCTGAGGAAGCCGTAAGTCCCAACTGGCAGGGAACAATCATGGTTTGCACCAACTGTCTGGAGAACCAGAGAATGCTCCCCTTCTCTCAGAAGTGCCCTGGTGTAGTTCTCCACCCTGTCAACTAACTTCCCACCCTCTAAACAGCTCAGTCGTCACCTCCTTCGTGAAGTTTTCAGCTAGAAGAGATCCATCAGATCTTTGTAGATTTACTGAAATGCTATTTTGTACATCTTTAAACAACTATATCCCTTTATTTTATTTTAGATGAGAGATACAGTACATGGGCCAAATCTGTCTAATGGCACTTACATTTTTAATTGATTTTTAAAACTAAAATAGCAATAATAATTTTTTTTTGGCATGTGAAAATTGTACTAAATTCACATTTTAGTGTCCACAAATAAAGATTTTTGGACAACATCAATACAGACTTATGTCTGTATTGTCTACGGCCACTTTTGTATTACAGTGGTTAAGTTTAAAAGTTGAATTACAAATAATTTGGCCTCCAAAGTCTAAAATATTTACTGCCTGGACTTTTTGTTTGTTTGTTATTTGGTACTGGGGATTGAACTCAGGTCCTTCCGCTTGCGAGGCAGGTGGCAGAACCACTGAGCTAAAACCCCGGCCCTACTGCCTGGACTTTCATGGATGATGTTTGCTGACTTATGATCTAAACCATAAAGTCCTCTAGAGCAGCATTAGCACAGAGCCTGGCTTCCTACAGACACACAGCGATCTCCATCCCACAAATGCCTAAGGAGACACCTCTCACTGGCAGCCTGGTGCATCAGAAGCATTTGGCTCTGGGAAGAACCAGAATGCTGTCTATCAAATTTTAGACCATTTTCTTTATTTTCTCCCCGAATGTAGAGAATGTGCTGTCTAGAGATTTATGTTTTATTTGGGGTGGAGGAAAACTTAAGAATACCCTCTGGACATTGATATTTCCAGTAAAATAAAAAGCATTAGAAAAAGAAAACAATTAGATTTAATTCACAGGTAATAAGAATTTTGTTTAATACGCGCATATCAGTTCCACACGAGCTTGTATTCTTTAACACCTGTCATTTATCTTCCTTTTCAGAGACAGCTGTTTACCCTTTTCCTGAAACTGATTCATTTACTGGTTTTCTTTCTTTGTGACAGATGAAATTCCAACAATATCAACCATGCTGAAAGGTCATTAATATTGAGCATGAGAGCGAGAATGGAAGTCCAGGAAGTCATTATGCTCTGACAGGTCGCCTGCTCATGCCTAATGAGTCAGTTTAGGGACTGTGCACTGCCCGTCATTCCAGCTGGACACTCACCTCTCCTCTGGAAGTTCTCAGTACCACCTGGTACATCTGTCTGCAACCTGGCTGTGATCATAACCCAGAGTCTAGAAGCATCACAGCTC